GAAGAGGAGGAGGGCGAGGAACGGGGGAAACTGCTGGAAAGAAGGTGCGGCAAGGCGGGGGGCCTCGTCACCGTTGTCTTTTTCCTCGTTGTCGGCCGTTGTCGTTCGTCGATCGTTGTCGTGGACCGTTTGTCGTCGACTGTCGTCGGCGTCGTTGTCATCGATCGATGTTGCCTTAGCTGTCAACGATCCTCGTCGTCGCGGGTCGTCTTCTTGGATTGCCGTCGGTCGTCGTCGCCGCCGCAACCGTCGCCGTGTTGCTCGTCGGTTGCCGTCGGAAGCCTCGCAACGTTCAGAAGACGACTAGTCGTGGTCGTTTGCAATCGTCGGTCGTCGGCTCTCGTCTCCATCGCCGTCGACTGTCGTCGATCGTCGTCGATCTTTGTCGTCGTCGCCCTCGTCGTCGTTGAGGTCGTCGTCGAGGCGCGCGCCTCGTGATTCAGAGTCTATCCTGCCGACCGGGGCCCTCGACCCTCTCGGGCGTCCCATTCCTCCTCCTCCCCTCTCCTCCTCCCCTTCCCCTCCTCCTCCTCCTCCTCCTCCTCCTCCTCCTCCTCCTCCTCCTCCTCCTCCTCCTCCTCCTCTTCCTCCCCCTCCTCCTCCTCCTCTTCCTCCTCCTCCTCCTCCTCTTCCTCCTCCTTCTCCTCCTCCTCCTCCCCCTCCTGTTCTCCCCCCTCCCCTTGCTCCTCCTTCCCTTTCTCCTCCACCTCCTTCTACTCCTCCTCCTTCTCCTCTCTACCCTTTTACCTTCGTTTCTATCCCCCCCCTCCCTGCTCCTCCCCCAAATCCCCCTGCTTGCCCCCCCCCTCTCCATGCAGCCGCTCTTGCTCCATCGGTGGCGACGCCAAGAAAGGGTCCTCCCGCTGCCCCCCGTCGCCCCGAGGAGTTCGGGCGCGCCGCCCTCGAGGCCCTGATGGCGGCGCGCGTCGTCGGCTAAGGGCCGCGCCCGGTGCCGACCCAGCAGGTGCTGGACCCCCGCCGCCCGCGGGATGCGCGGCTCGCTTTCTGCGCTGGAAAGCGGTTGCAGCGTTGCGGCGAGATCCACGTCGTCGTCGTCGTGATCGTCGTCGGCCGTCGTCGTCGAATTTCGTCATCGTCGGTTTTCGTCTCCGTCGTCGCGCCCTATCGTCGTCGGTCGATCGTCGCCGATCGATGTCGGCCGCCGTCGCAATCGCCGCGATCGTCGTCGTGGGGCCGTCGGCCAAACCGTCGTCGTCGTCATCTGTCGTCGTCGGTCGTCGATCGTCGATTATCGATCTTCGCCGCGCCCGTCGTCGGTCGTCGATTGTCGCCGACCGTCGTTAATCGCAGGCGTCGTCGCCAGGGTGCGCCGCCGCGGGCCCGGGGGCGAGGCCCGTTCCACTGCCCCCCACCACCCTCGCCGATCGAAGGAGGCCTGGCGCGCTCGTCGGGCCGGGCGGACCCGATTTGCACACTGCGCAAAGGAATGAGAGAGACACGCGGAGAGAGAGAGAGAGAGAGAGAGAGAGAGAGACAAAAAAAATGTAGAATCAAACAAATATGAAAAAAGGGAGAGGGAGAGGGAGAGGGGGAGGAGCGGAGGAAGAGACAGAGAGAGAGAGAGAGAGTGAGAAATCAACAAAACAGTTATATACATACATATATATATATATAGAAAAATGGAGCGAGACAGAGAGACGACAACCGGGGGGGCGGACAAGGATACTTCGGGGAACCGCGAGGAGGAACGCGAGGACAGGGCGGCGGTGGAGTCAGGGAAGGCTGCTTGGGAGGAGGGTGGAGGGCGGCGAGGAGGGGGGAACGGAAAAGGAGGAGGGATAGAACGGGGGGGTAGAGGAGGGAGAGGAGGAGAAGGAAGAGAGGAGGAGGAGAGGGAGGAGGAGGAGGAGGAGGGGGAGGAGGAGGAGGAGGGGGAGGAGGAGGGGGGGAGGAGGAGGAGGAGGAGGAGGAGGAGGAAGGGGGAGGAGGAGGAGGAGGAGGAGGAGGAGGAGGAGTCGGGGAAGGAGAGGGGCGGGGAAGGAGATGGAGGAGGAGGAAGAGGAGGAGGAGCAGGAGGAGGGGGAAGGGGGAGAAGGAACAACAGAGGCGGAGGAGGAGGAAGAGGAACAGGAGGAGAATGATGAAAAAAGGACGAGGCAGGAGGCATCGAACAAGAATGGTCGGCCTCTGCAACTGGGCCATCGCCCGTCGTCCACGTGACGGCCGCGATGGCGACGAGGGCTATCCTCCTGGTGTTGCGTCTCCTCCTTCCTTTCTCTTCTCTTCCTCCTCCTCCTCCCTCCTCTTCTTCCTCTTAGCTCCCTTCCTCCTCCCTCCTCCTACGGGCCTCGTCCTCATCGCGTCCGCTCCCCCCCCTCCTCCGCCTTCCCGTTCTCCTATCCTGTTCCTCCTCTTCCTGGCGCCTCTTCCCCCGTCGCGCATGACCATTATTTGCGCGCCTCCGCGCCCCCCCCCCTCTTCCTCTTCCCCCTCC